TGAGTCACTATACACATGCACTTGGCAACGGTCCTGTAACCGCTTTTGTGCTTGAATATGTAGAGCGCACACACAGAGACCTCTTCATAAGTTCGTTCAGAGGATCGTTTGGCAGATTTGGAATGCAGATTCGAAATCACCTGTATCACCTGTCATCCCGTTGATCGTCAATTTCCTCGAGCGGGCGCTAGTAACGTACGTCTCTATTCGTCCCTGTACGATCTACAATGATCCAAAGGATCGTCCTCGCCTCGAGGACACGGCATGCAGTGAAAATTGAAATCAGCATCAAAAAATACGTCTATCAGTGTACATCTCATATCAAATGGCCACTCCGACTTGGAACCCTTCCCTTGTTATTTTATATGTTAGGCAATGGATTAAGTTCGTTGTGCGGGTGGTTCAGTGGTTTTCTTATAACTCCGATGATAACGGAGTAAAAATACAACAAGTGATACAATAAGTTACCGCTGTGAAAGCGTACAATAATGGCAAATAATAGTTTATCTAACAACTCAGTTTACGTCTTGCCCGTGACGTTGTTTTTAGAAGGACTGGGGGCCACGCTTTTCTGTGGTCCCGCATCATTTAGAGGGATGGGCTAAGTTAGGGAGTCCTCTCAGACGGTGAGACGACGAGATTATTAGTATGGGATCGTCACCAGGCGACGATATTCGTAGTTTTTGCAAATGCTCTCATTTGATGAAAGCCATTAGAAGTATCGACCGATCAACCTACTATCAATCTTCTTCGTAAAAACTGTAAACAGTGACGCGGACGATTCGCTCCTGTGAGCGAATCGTTTCTAGTCCCTTCTGCATCTTCCAATTAGATTACATTGAACGTTCCTCCGAATTTCTCAAGTTTAGCTGCGTTCTTGCGTCCTTCTTCTGAAAGGATTTGGGGAGATTCTTCCTTTTACTGTTCTTCAATGCATGTCGTGTCCGGGATTAATAATGCGCTCCAATGAGAAATTTGCGCTCAAAATGGGCTTGTGTTCCACGGTCAAAGTGCCACATTTTCCGGCGACACTTTGATGTTTCTGATTTCTAGTACTTATTTGGATTTCTTCTGATCAGTTTTGTATTTCGATTTGGCCGTACCATTGTCAGGAAGAAGGTGGGTGGAAGTTTATGAATACAAATAATTGTTTCTGCGGAGTGTTCAATTTGATTTGGTTTATTACCCGGGATATTCCAATAATTCTCACAATAGATGTGGACTTACACTAACATTATATAACCGTGGAAATTGTAGTTAGCCACTTCTGCTTGTGGTGAGCCGTTTCTGCGTCTCACTGTCAAAAGTCCTTATCTTCATTTTACACTATCAGTTGTTTAGCGGAATGTTGTTTGCTGAGAGAGCAGAATTTTTGAACCTTGGTTCGTGAAGTTTTTATGGCATTTCAAAGTTGTGTTGCGAATGAGCTAATGCGATCAGAAACGAACTAAAGATAATTCCTTTTTTCTACTAAGAATATGTATGTTGTGTGGAACAATAATGGTATCATTCTCGTAAAGCTGGGAATGTTTACTAATGGGTTGTTTATCATTCCCTTATCTCGTTACGCTTGCGATGTCGCCCCTCTCTCATTTTGGAAGGGTATCACTTGTATACTTTGATCGCTTTTATTAAATTACCTTCGCTACTGCTTGTATTGCTCATCAATTCTAAAAGCGTGTCCTACCGTTTATCGACGTGATTTTGTTTGGTTTGCGTTTCTTCCATGTTTACTATGAGTTTATACTTCTTTATTTCAAATAAATCGTCATCATAGCATGCATGGTAGTTGATCACAACACATTTCGATTTACATCACTGATTATCATTGGAGGAAATTCGTTATTCTGAATTATCAGCACTGCAAAAGTGATCTCAAATCTCATTTACATTGCCACCATAGGATAGTGACCCCACCAGAGATAGCCCGATTTCGAACTATACAACACAGATATCACTAACCGTAGCAATATCATCTAACAAAATAAAAAAAATCACTGAAAATAGCTTCCTATACTATTAGCCATGGTGTAAAGACGTGCGACGAGGTATGCGCCCCCATTCGCCTTCTACTCAGAATCGTATTGGAGCATGAGATACATATGTAGGCCATTCGGTAGTTGGTGTGGTCAGCTGATGTACACGTCAGCCCCTTTATCCTCCCAGACGAGTCTGGCAAAAGTCAATCGACCCCAGAGGGATGGATGGCTTGGTTGGCCTAAGCGGATATCTATCCGATCTGGATCTATATATGACCCTGATTCTATTTGCTTTAAGTGTGAAAAGTCTCGGTGGTTGATGGCTGTAATCGCACGCTCTTTAGAATCCTGACGCATTATATACCAGATAGAAGACGCAATTTGCAAGCCTCGTTCTATTTTGACGGCCGCAATTTGTGTACCTTTGTGATCTGCCTCGAATCATTTGCCGTACTTGTTGAGGTGGATTCTTCTTGGTTATTTTCGAAGAAGGGAATCGTTCTTAGTAGAACAACCTGCGGTAAAATTGTGCATTACCTAAATCAAGGAAATTTCGAATGAAATGACTTGTGCGTCACTTTGGACGTCTAGAGAACTATTGTATCGCTCTTTCGAAATGCCAATTTTACCTTTGTGTCTCAAAATACAAAAACTATAGTTCAACGAGCAAGCTTAGCCATAGAGTCCAAAAAACCAGGGAATCGTGCCAGCTCATGCGTCACAATCGGGTCACCGAAATCAGGTCCGTTCTTCATCTGGGATGGCTCTTATTCAGCTTGCTTAACACTCAGAAGTTGGCACACCGTAAGCGATAGGCAGGTGTCGACATATGCAAAAACAGATTCCGCAGCTTAAAAGAACTTATAAAGCAGTGGCCAGATGGAAAAGAATAGAAAAGACGTCAGGCTACCAAAAAAACCCCTTACATATACGACGCGATAAGAAAGGGTTCCGCGATGGGAAGGAGCGGATGGGTGAAGTGGTTAGCTGATTACTGTATCACAAAGTAATGCGGATTTAAAGGCACAGTTCACAATAATTTTGAATTATCCTTTTTAAGTCAGTAAGTGGGAGTGTTGGTGGAAGATAGTGCATCGTAGGCAAAGAAATCGAGAAAATCTATTGAATTCGCAAAAATTAAAGCTTCCCAAATTAGTGGAAATAGGGTTGTACGAAATTACGTTGCGGAAATGGCATGGATGAGGTATGAAGACGGGATTTCAGCATGGGTCACAACTAGTTGTTTGAATTTGTAGCATAAGTTTTCCGTATGATTTGTGCAGTTTCTTTGGCGCCGTTGAAATCTCCCCAATTTGGAGTGTGGCACTAGCCGGTACAATTATTGTGCCCTTGTAAGACCTTACTTAGAGAGTCTTTCGGTCTGACACATACGGTGTACGAGTAGACCACAAATTCATTTCAGGGGGATATCTCATAAAGCATTTTGGTTGTGAGCTGCGCCTTTAATGCGCCGTACGTGCGCCCGTAGAGAATTCCGCCTTATTCAAGATTCAATGCCAACAAGCTATTTTGGGGACATTTTATAATAGACGATTGCATGCTCATGAATGCACCTCTTTTGGAATTGATCGTTTCATCAATCCTGCTTTAGATACGCACCGTAGCCGACTTCTCAATTTTGTAATTAGCGACGCTCCCTCCCATTGGGTCGAACGCCTTTTGTAAAAAGTTTCTGATAAGCTGTGGCTCGAACCTACTATTCTTAGCGGTGAAAATGACAGTGCACTGCAAGTGGCATGGAGTGTAGCAAGGAGTACTTATTTAAAGGTTCCTTCCAAAGGGAAGACGGGCAGTAGGAGCTGTTTCGTGCAATCGACTCATCGCACGCGGTTGTCACGGATCTACTTGCTTCGTTATTACAGTTCTAGCGTTCTTCATATAGCTCAATCGCTGTGCGATTGTTACTTATGGCATAATTCTACTGTTAGTTATTTTGTTCCTGAATTTCTTACTTGCTGCTGCATTCTCTTACATTCCTTCGCGCTCTTTCGCGCGACGCGACAATTTCGTTCCTACTGCACCACACCTCTTCCAAGGTATCACAATAGCTCTATGAGGGTTCGCAGGGATTGCATCTAATCGTAATTCGTTATTATTCTGATGCAGTTACTCTACAGTGTATGATGCAGTGATATCGTGTATTTGCCTTGTCCACTCCTTTTTCCCATCATTCGCTCGCTTATCGCAGTAGTTCGTTTCATACCATCCCAGCACCGCTATCGCCATTAGGAGCAAGTCGCAGAAAAGCATGAAAGATCGTTAATATTTACCGAAGGACGGATTATGTATATACGCTTATATTTAGAGCTGAGATCTATACAACATCTTTTCAGACAATGTCAACGGCAAACCTAATCGTACCAGAAGAAGATGGTGGAAAAAGATATTTCTTTGGAGTGACAAGTAGCATGGTATTCCGACGGAACTACCGAGTGGAGCGGGATGTGAGATAACTTATGTCTTTTCTTGTTTGAGGAAACTCATTTAGATGCTCAAAAATGTTCTGAAGAATCCTATTCATTGTGTTGTTCACCATAATGGTAGAAGGAGATATGCCGTACCATTTCTTCTTTTGAGAGCTCATCGATTCAAATATGGTGGAAACCGGTCGGCTTATGTGATAGTAGTGGATTCCTTTATAGATGTAATTTCGACGAATAAATTTCAATCGAGCTCAGTCTCCCCCGCGTATCTCTCACCGTTTTGGCTTGAATTTCTGCAGTAAGTCAGAGAAATTGATGAGAGTTACTGTGGTCGCACACCTTGACCGATCTAACCTCTAGCTTCCCAGACTCATACATAACTGCAGAGAAATCATGCTTTTCGGTGAGAATACGGGATGGCTTGAAATTAGCGGTTTTTTCAAGGATGTAGTCTTTGGCGTTAACCAATCTCGTTTCTGGGATGCGCCCCGTAGCCGGCTACCATCCACAATTATATTGGCGTTTTGAATGTTTATGTGGTCTATACAATGTTTTGCAAAGGCCAGCCAATGTAGAAGGAGGGACGGGTAGTAGGATCGGTATCGTGTAATCGATTTGCCGCACGCGGCTGTCGCGGACCATTCGCTTTGCCGTTGTTACACCTCTAGCGTTCTTCCTACAGCTCAATCGATACGCGACCATCATTTTGGGCATGATTCTACTGTCAGTTCTTTTGTTCTTGTGTTTCTTAACTGCTGCTGCATTCTGCTACACTCCTCCGCGCGAGGCTTCCCTCTCGCCGCGACGCGACAATTTCGGTCCTAGTGCACCACACCCTTGTACAGGTCCATGCCTTTACATATTTTCCCAGAAGAGTCTGGTAGCGATCGACCAACCCGAGATGGTTGGAAGGCTTGTTTCGATTAGGGATTTGAACCCTGGACCATGCCATTGCAATAGTGAACTACTTAGTTAGCTTTGTACCACCTCTGCCCTGAGAAATCTACTTATCCACCAAAATAGTTATTGAACCAAAAATTCCGAATATTTGCTTTTTGACTGCATATCGTTGAAAAGACAGTGACTTTTCACCTCTCGAAAAAGGTCAAAAAGTGACAAATACCGTCGTGAGATGATTGAAGAGAGAGACGACATTTGTTTCTCGCAACTCATTGTGAAATTGCCAGGTGCAAAGATATCAGAACAAGAAAAAGTCAGGTGAGGAGACCCTCTGAGGTCATGTCAAGAAGAGTTATCTGTCTAGGAAATCTCAAATTAAATCTACATTTTCGAATGAATAGAAGATGAAGCCCTGTTTTCCATCATCCTAATGCGAAATGTTCGGGGCTGGATCACGGGAGAATTGGCGGAGTTTGTATTTTTGGGTGATAACGGCATTCTTTTGTTCGACATTGAAGCTCTGAGTCCTGATCTCCTACTCCTCCTCTCCCCTCCCTAGCCTCTTTCGAGTATTCCTTGAAATACGCCTGAATCTGTCTACTACCTGTGTTGGAACAATGCTGGTAGGGGGAGAGTAAATGAAATTTTCAAACTATAGTCGGCCATCAGTTACACTGCCTCTCAGTACGAATCGGTTAGCAATTGCGTCCTTTTAATCAGACCTCAGACGGAGTTGAGTCCGACTTCTGTTTTTCGGAAGTGGGGGGTAGAAAGTGGACTTCAGCTCCTGCTTTTTGACTCTTGAATAAACCAATTTTCGTTATCTTCGAAACTGGGTGTAGCACCCCAGATGGGAGCACATTTTTTCTGATCAGTGTAGTAATTTGCACATGATTTCCACGAGTTCGTTGTTTGACCAATAGAAACACATTGTTTGCTGAACTTTCTGACATTTGGGAGGCGCAAATGCTCTTGTTATCATTTAATCCTAGGCTTATCTGTGGAGATACGCTCTCGTTATTTACCTTATCATTGCTCATCAACGAGCGCCAACCTCTTCGTATTAATTGCGAGACATGGCCCTTTGTCTTTCACCTTTTTTTGACTGTTACTGCAGTGGTCCTTGTTACATCAGTGTACTGAAGAACAATTCGTTTGTCATTAGAATTTAGTTGACAACCTTCTTGTTCACGAGTGATTGAAAAAACTGGATCTTCCATAGTCTCTTTACTGCTGTACAAGAATTTCGAGGTGAATAATATCGAGGGTTCACGAGGATTGGTCCTCTCACGTGAAAGTTCGTGCTCACATTCATTCTACAATTGATCTAAGCGTGTAACACCGTGAAAACGACTTTTTAGATTTCGGCAATTAAGCAGGATAACACTACTCCTCGCTAAATTTCCGCATTCAGTTAATAACCGTTTTTCTACCTGACAGCGCCACATATGTCATAGAAAGGGACCACAGATTCACCCCAGTGTGACAACTCAGAAGCCATTTTTTCGTGAACTCTCCCTAGTTCTTTATGGACCAAATCGCATCTCCAAATTCAACATGAACCTCTTCACTAGTTCCGATTCGACCACCAAGCCCCATCGGAACTTGTGTCGAGTAATTCCTTAAACCCTCTCATTAGCAAATCGGCGCGCGCTTTGTATCAAGGGTTCAAAGGTAGGCATCAATCATCAACGAACGGCGATATGATAAAATCTCATAGGTTATGCGCATGCAAGTGAGTATTTTAAGGGAACTTTTAGAAAATTGTAGAAAGAATGTGAAGTGTTAAAGGCATACTCTCCCAGCGCAGTAATATTCAATTATATATTTGATTGATGTCTTGTCATACAGCGGGTGGGGTCTTTTTATGATGAAAATTCCCGGAGTTGTGGAATTCTCGAGATTATAGTGCGGGAGAAATGCAAACGTTTTCGCGAGATCAAAGGCATCGATGCGAGCTATCTGTAACTTTACCCATGAATAAAAAAGTAAATAAGAATATGAAGTATGGCTATTTATATAAATAAGTATAAGATTGTAGATTACTTTTTGCGCTAATTGTGTCATCGCATAATGACCTTTTTCTTGGAATGGTTGCTGCACCTTTGCGAGAGAGATGTAATACCTCTTAGACTGTGGTACAGTCACACGAATCTTCATGAAATTTTGCTACTTTCTCTTGCACAAATTCTTTTTTCAACAAGCAAACAGATCAATTTTCGGATGAAGGCATGGATCGGATTCCTGGCTTTGGTTGTTGGAATTGCACTTTTTGTTGCCGGCGCAGTAATGCTTGGTATTGGTATATCGAAGAGCAAGTCGAATAATTCTTGTCCAAACTTCTCAGCGTCCTCTTCAACTATTCCTCCACCTTGTGAGTAAATTTACTTTGCAGTGTGATTCCAATAAGAGTCAAAGTCATGTTGCAGTCGAATACGAAGAAATCGCTGCTCTGATTCAAGACAAAATTGATGTTGATCGAATTCGAGACAATCTTCGAAATTTCACCACTGATCCGCATCAGGCTGGAACGACGGCTAACATCAGAGTGGCTGATTCGATCATGGCCAGGTGGCGAGAGGCAGGACTACAAAGTAGGTAGATTAAATTTGAACAAAGGTGTCCGTTGAATAACTCCACATTTTACTAGGGTGTCCTTATTCCGATTTTTTATGCACTTCAATGACGCGCAACGCAATTTATGTATATGTTATTTTACAGCTAAGATTTGTTATCAACCGTAGTCGAAGTTCATCGGTGCTGCGAAAGCGAAAAAATCTGCAGAAAGTTCATGATTAAAGACTTTTTCCTCCTCATCATTTTTGACGAAGTGGTGAAAGGTGCACCTTTTGCTGCATAACTTCGTCGCGGAGAACTCGTTCGCCTAAGGGTGTGTGCTTCGGCAGAACCGATGTTTGGGCCCTTAATACACCCTACATGGGCCATTTTTCGTTTCGGCTACGTGTGCTATCTTCGGGACTCACATGTTTGTGCTAAGGAGGAATCTCAGAGACCATTCTGATCGTGAACTGTGCCTTTAATTAGCAAGTGGTGAACCACAGCGGACACAGAGTTCCCTTGCTCCTACGTGATGATACTAAATTTTTTACTTCATGCAATTTTGAACAAGCGACTTGCCCCTCGTGCAACGACAACTCTTGAGGCATCAAGATCTCGCCGTTCTCTTTGTCAGTTACTCAATGGTAATTGAGTAACTGACAAAGTAACTTCCGATTAATTTTACGCAAGATGCGTATTTCGCTCATCTCTCGTCCTAGTTTTTCGGACCTTAGCCTCTTTGATGCTTATTCATACCATTCAGCCGCATACCAACGCCCCATTTCCGCGTTCTGAAAGGTCACTGTGTGTCTGTGAAAAATATTCCGCTGCATGAAGGGGAAAACACAAACTTATAAGGACTTCATGTTTAAGTGTTGCATGTTTGTTACGGTCGCGTACAGGAAAGTTTAGAAAAAAATACGTAATATTCATATTCACAGATTCCAAAACTGATAGAGTTATTTGCAGACGTACACACGGTTGCCTATGATGTATTGCTATCGTATCCCGATTTCTCAAATCCGAACTTCATGTCAATCACGGATGAAAGCGGAAAAACAGTCTACAAGAGTGAGGGTGTCAGCCCACCAATCATACCTGCTGAACAGAACTCCATTAGTAAGTCGATCATTTTATCAGGCTGAGACTAATGTCCGGTTTTCACCGATATTCAAAATTGCGCAGCTTCGTCACAACCAACTTTATTGAACCAAAACTCGACAACTGCCTTTCAGTAATTATTGAGTTACCTTTTCGCTAAAACTCTGCTTCTTCGACGCAAAAAATTGAAGTCCATTTCAAGGTTGTTGCGATCAGAGTAGCTCTTTTTCTTGGGAGTTGAGCAAGCGAGCGAGACAAGTGATAGCCAGTCAGTGTGAGATCAGGAGAGTGTGGTGGGTGGAGGAGAATAACGAAATAAAGTTTTTGAACAGTTCTTTAGGTTTTCTTTGCAACATGTTATGTAGCACGAAAACTTCACTTAGAGGAGGTTACACTTTTGCGAGTCCTTTTCTTCTCTACCCTGCAAACCGTACGTGTGTGCTTCAACGGTGGTGCTATTATAGGAGATTGTATGATGCTAGCCTCGAGCACTCCACCAAACGCAGAGCATGACCTTCTCGGGTGAATCTCAGCTCTTGGAAATGGCGATGGCTGTTAATCTCATCCGCCTCTCGTCGTTCGTGAAAGGGCTTGTCAACACAAGATTTGTCCTCGAGTACCAAATTGCAACTGTCAAGCACGGCGGCGGTTGTAGATATTTTTCAAGCCTAGGATTGAGGCACTACACTGTTTTCCCACCACTATGGATCAGCAGATGTAAGCAGATGCCTTGGAAAAATGCATGCTTCCTCGGTGGAAAATTTACTTATCAGCATGGTAGCGATCCCAAACACATGTAGAGGGGTGCGCGAGTGGCTAACTCATCAGGAAAATTGACGATTGGAGTGAAAGAAGTATAGTCGTGATGGTCCATACAGCAATCGGTTCTGCTGGCACTGGGAAACCTTCAGTTTCCCAGAGGAAATTTCAAGAGAGCAGGAGTTACGTCATGGGCGGCAATTTCTTCTCGTTAACTTCGTCATTTATGTTTTGTTCTGGAGAAGCTCAACCCTTCCGGTTATTGAGTCGTAGTGCGCCATGCTCGTCTTTCTTTTTAGCGTCAGGATAGGCAGCGGAACCTCTTATGCATGCAGGATAATGCCCCGAATAACGTCAGCCGGAGCACATAGGCCTGCTTTAGTCGGCACCATATCAACTTTTGCCTTGGCCGGCAAACAGCGCTGACTTGAATCCAATTGAAAACATATGCGATTTTTTGATAAGGAAGGTTCTTAAAGGACACAAGCAATTTTGAGGCATCAGTGTACCGAAAAAAAAACAATCGTCGATGCTTGGCTCCGAGTTGACCAGAAACTCATTGATTGCCTTCACTTTAGCTTAGGCAATTAAACTTTTGAGGTTTCGAGGGAAAAGGGGCCCAATTTATTACAAATCAAGCAATTTCCTCTCTTTGTTACCACTCTGCAGCTAAATAGACTGATTTGGCAAGTGGCTCAATCACCTTGAAACATAGGCAAGGTTTTCTAAATTAAATCTAAAATTGCTTTGATGAAATTCATAGGTGGCTGTACTAGCATCAATGAAAGCTAAGTATATGTAAAGTATTTTTGTACTTTTGAACTCGAGTCTCCCAAGTATATGCCCATTCCAGATGCTGGAATACAATGGCTCGCTTACTCGCCTAATGGAACCGTAACAGGTGATGTGGTTTATTGTGGGCACGGCACTGAAAGGGAGTTTCAATATCTTCAAAGTCATGGGATTACGCTCAAAGTGAGTGTCGCATGAAATTGTTACGCGGACCAATGCCGCATAAAAGACAAAGCTACTACTTAACCTTTCCAAGTGCTTCATGCTTCCGTTTTAAATTTAGTAGTAGAGTAGTTGAAAGTGCATGCTCCTGATACTTTTGGCGAATACTTTAGCTGATATGTTATGTAACTTTGTTGAACTGCTGCTATTACCAATGAACATTCACTTTGAGTCTTTAGAGGTACTATTAGGTTGAAGCATAATTATTGCGGATTTCTTTCAACAAATGTTATTCAACGAAACGATAAAAATACTAAACAAAAACATATTCAAATAATTGCTCCGTAACTTCTCCACCATCGACGACAAGCACTGCTTTCCATTGGCTAGATATTCGGATTTCAAAAGCGAAGAAGTTTTGATCCGTGGGGGCGATCCACGCCTTGACATCGGCCATCAAGTCATCCAAATCGACATAACTTCTATTCCCTAGCCATTTTTTCAGCGAACGGTTGACGAGATAACCCATAGAAGTTTCTGCTGGTGAATATGGCAGATATAAGAGCAGATCCAATTTAATTCCAATATAAGATTCCAACTCCTGCGAACGGTCCTTTGCGTAATGTGCAGTCATTTCGCAACATTGCAAAGCAGATTTCTCTTGGTAGTTGGAAATGATATGCATTTTGATCTTTTTAGCAGAAAAGGTTAGCCGCGCTGCAAGCAAAACCGGGTGTCCAACAAGTTTGCTCTGAGGGACTGTGGAATCACACAAGGAGTACCTGGTCCAGCCTTTTTGTAGAATTTGCAACTTTACTTAGAGGGGCACTAATACTACTTAAAAAAGCACGTTCCTTATCATCTTTCTATGTACTGGTTTTGAAATAGGAAGCTTATGGTGCTCATTCACCATGAGCTTCCTCCCTCGAAACCATTGTTTAGTATAGCATCTATGCTACCAAGCTGTAGGAGCAACGCTCCCTGTGACTTCGGAGACCCACGATCGGAGCTAACAAATGAACACTGACACACTGAGCATGAACACAGAATCATTTTTCCCCCTTTTTCAACATGATCAAATTGAAAAAAAGGTTGAGAACGCACTTCGTTTGTCATAGATCCGATCATCATATGCTGATTGTAATAATAATATAGCCACAACTTTTGCCAGGGAAAAATCGCTCTACTTCGTTATGGTGGCAGTTTTCGCGGTAACAAAGTCGCACTCGCTCAGCAGAATGGTGCTGTTGCTGCGATTCTTTTTTCGGATCCAGCTGAAGTCGCGCCCAATGGCACATTGGACAGTAAGCTTTTTTGGTATTAGTACTTTGATAACCTCAAATAAGTTAAGTATCCTCAAATTGTTCATCTGCCACTTTTGAAGTTAACTTATCATGCAAAGGCATTTCTTCAGTAGTGTTTGTTACTTCTATACGTTCCATTAATCATTTTTCACGATTCTTCAGAAGACGTGTATCCAAATACAGTGTATATGCCTCAACATAGCGTTCAGCGTGGCACACTTCATATTGGTAATGGAGATGTTCTGTCGCCGTTGTATGCTGGAAAGCCGAATCTATGGAAAACAGGATCTGTGGAAAAGGTACAAGACTAACTGGAAGATTTTGAAATAGATTTGAGATCTTCAAATAAAAAGCTACGCATCCAAATTACCAACTTATCACCTTCTTTGTTGTCCTTTTCGTTCGGCTCTTACACACTCTCAAGCGTGCTTTCATTTTAAATTAAAACTTGATTCTGAAAGAGTAAAATGCTTTGGCGTTGGTGGAATAGCCCACAACCCGAATTCATATTCCATGAGTATTGTCCCTTGCTATTAACAAAAGGCTTATTCTCGTGAACGCTGCGTCTTGAAATACATGTGTGAGAAAGGCTCAGCCTCGAAAAAGCCTTGAAATAAGAAATGGTCGAGTCTGGGTCAGGCCTGAGAACAAAGTGAACCAGTATTTTCGGGTTGTGATAAAGTGTGGTGTTTGCGGAAAAGATCAGAGCTTGGTTTTAGCTGAGAATGGAGCGAAATATATGAGGTTGATCATTCGTTGTCGAGTGAAATAATCGCAACCACCTTCACTTGGTGGTTGAATGGGCAATGTTTACTGAAGATATTGGTATAGTTCAGCTCGAGACCAAGACCAAGAAAATAGAATAAATTTCGAGAGAGGTGGAAAAGTTTTGGAGAACGAGAGGTCAACTCCTTTTCCCATATGATACTCCTCATAGAACTCCGACGATGAAAACGGGTAGAATCCTTTCGTGCCCTTCACACCGACCCAAAGCATGAGGTTGACTGTGTGGGGTTAACAATAACGATTAATTCTTAGCTTCCAAAGATATTGATGCAAGTCTCCTGTTCTTATGAGAGTTGTCGCCTGTATAGTGCTTCTTCCCAGAGAAAATTGTTTCTAGGTGTTGTTCCGTGCTCGTCTGAGTGAGAGGATTTCCGCTTTGCGCGCGTTTCCTTGGTCCTATCCGAAAAAGTGTGACTTCTTGTATACAATGAGGAACGAGTATTAGGTAGTCCCTGACGGTCCACCAAATGCAACATTACGAAACCTTGAGCTCTTGATCCTTTTCTTCATGCTACTGTTTGGATAATTTTATTCGGAAACCCTCTTTCTGATGATGTCTACGAGCTGCGGAGTTGTGAATTGAAAGTGCCTTTCTGGAATGGTACACCTTTCTTCTTCTTGAAACCCGTAGTTATTTACCACTCTGCGCTTGCTGAGCTTCCTCGCGAGTGCGGCCATACCTAATGTTTCGTTAGGTAGAGGTTGACAGGGGTGTGCTTCGTTGCGCGCGTCCCTCGAAACTAGGTCACGCCGCAGCCGTCGCATGCGGCGGGTCGGCCCGCAACACCTGACGGACGTCGCAGTTGTCATTGGAGCATACGATTCGCGTTTGGTCTATGGCGGTCAACCAAAGAGGAGATGACACGGACAAATGCAAATCATTCGCTCCACTGACACTTGGTGGTACTGTAATATCATCTCGAGGCCTCAGTGGGGTGCGCCGCGCGCGAAGTGGGTGACCTACTTTTGATGGACGCGCGCAACGGACGTTCTCNAAAGACATACATTCCCGTTGTAAACGTTATTCTGAACCACTCTACGTTCTTAAGGCCACCAGTGAGCATTATTAGTTAGTTCGTTTTGAGGAACTTCTTATGAAAGTTTTCAATCATGAATCAGTGTATATTCAGTAATTTAGCAGTTCTTGGTTGTACAAAGCTGCTTGTTTCCCTTTCCGCTCTGAGTTCAAGCTCACTCTTCTATGTCCCCGATGACCAACTAGTTATAGGACTTTTCCCAGCCTATCTCGTTTCTGTCTTGACAATCATCTGCAATTTTTACGATCTAGGCTCGTGCAGAAGGAGATATTCCATCGATCCCTGCTATCCCAATCTCGTATACATCAGCCATGGCACTTCTTTCAAGGTTAGACGGTACACCTGCACCATCGACCTGGAAAGGTGAGTTTTTAAGGAAAGTTCCTTCATAAGCACACGAAACAATATCGAACACCGTGGGTTGCCTCAACAAAAGTACATTCCCCGCTAATTGATTGCACTGCACCGTAAGTTGCATGGCTTGTGGAGATCTTTCTGAAAAGTGTAGTGGTGTAAGGTTAGCTGGAGTGAATCGGAGAAAGAGTAGAGAGGCGGTCATGTTCTGAAAACATTTTTGAACAACGAGATTGGGGTAGGGGGAGGGAGGCGATAATTCTGCATGGGGTCTAAGATATGCATCATAACTTTGAATGTCCGTTCAGAGGGAACAGCAAAGGAGTTGTTTGAAAAAAAGCTTTTCTTAATACTGTTTGTATGTAGAGCCGTGAATGCCCAATCTAATACCTATCGCTTCTTAGAGCTTCACGATCTACTATATCAACGAATGCTGAGGTATCTCAGAGAGTCATTTGAGCATAATTTTCACCTTGTTACTGGCTCTGGCTCGAGAGTAGTTTCCTCGGGAGTAGTTTCCTCGATTAATCGAAGTTTTTGCAGGAGGACTGAATGTCACCTACAACTTGGGGCCAGGTTTGAAGGACAAATTGAAGACAACCATTGTTGTCAACGGACACTTCGAAGTAAAGTGGGTGTTTGCTGAAATTTTCCAAAACATCGGTGTGTATGTGTATCTTAACACAAAAAGTTTACACACGTCGCGGTATTCAAACGGTATACGTCGGTTGAGGAGGTGCGATAGGACATACGTAATACCCTGCCCTGAAACAGATAAGTAGTACCAGTCAATCTTCAGCTGCACTCATCTCAACAAAGACTTCTCTTTCTAAGTCAGAACTGCTGGTATATCCATCTTTTAGACAAATTCGTAATGTAATCGGCTACATAAATGGCATTGAAGAGCCAGATCGGTATGTGATTCTTGGGAATCACTATGATGCTTGGACTTATGGCGCTTTGGATCCCAACTCCGGTACCTCTATTCTCGCAGAGGTTGCTCGAGCCACAATGCAAGTGGTGAATGAGACCGGTTGGCGCCCTGGTAAGTTCCTTTACGAGTCAGTTGAGCGTTTCTCAAATGGCTTAACTACAGCACGATCGCTTATGTTTGCTGCTTGGGATGCTGAAGAGTACGGTCTGTTAGGCTCAACCGAGTTTGTTGAGGATTTCGCAGAATTGCTCACTCGAAGAGCTGTCGCCTATCTAAACATGGACTGTCTTCAGGGAAATCAAACAATGTAGGCAGTGCTACGATTCAGGATGACTTCCAGTGACCATATTCATGAAGCTTATCTTCAGATTTGTCGAATCAGTGCCATCGCTTCAAGATCAGGTCATTCAAACAGCGAAGCGGGTCAAAAATCCCAGGAAAGATGAAAAGGATGTTAATGGAACTGCAGTATTCGATGCATGGTGATAACTTGCCCTGCGATTGTTGGTCTCAATTCTATTAAATTTCAAAGGAATTCAGGTTACATTACATGAAAGATCCCAGTAATCCAGGTATTCCTCAAATCCCTACTCCCTCCGGAGGATCGGATCAGAAATCTTTCATGGAGTATTTGGGTGAGTTGAGAGAGCTAGCAGGCATCCATATTCAGTCCGGAATGGAAATAAACTGTTTCTTTCTTGAAAAAGTTGATGAGAGCACTCAAGACGTCTTTTGGTTTTATTCTGAAGTGCTCTGAGACTAATAAGTAGCCCACGTGAATCTAGTTCTCTACTGGTAACAAATATGCATTCGCCTCCAATCTTTGGTTATTGCTCCAAACCTGCTGCAGAAAACCAGATTAGGTTTAAAGTTCAATAGTTCTTATAGACTCTGATTTAGGTGTTCCTTCAATGAGCTTCTCATGGACAGATATGGACAAACATCAGACCTACCCTCTATATCACACCTTGTATGAGACTCCATTCATAAACGAGCATCTCATGGATATCGACAACTTTGCTGTTCGTTGCTTTGTGATGAGTCAGTCTTACTCATGTACTTGTCGTAAATTGCGGAAAATTCTTCAGGTCCATAAAGCGACGGCTCAATTTTGGATTGAAATGGCCGTACGGTTAGTTGACGCCCCGACGATTCCCTACAGGTGATACTTTAGATGAAAAATAGTTTGAGGTGGACTATAGGAATTCGCCAGTGTTTTGCAACAAATGTGCTTCTCAGGCAGCCAACTCCCCTCAGTTTTACTCGTGGTTTGCACTTTCTGAAGTAGTGAAAATTTATGGTCGTAACCAGGAATCCCATGAGCAACTCAGGCGAACTGCAGCAATCTTACTTTGCACTATGAAGCCCATTTTACATAGGCTTACGCTGATGCGACTTTGCGAAGGAGCGTGAGGCGTCGCTGAAATTATACCAATGTCGCAGACTATAACCATTACTAACCATTACTGCCATCCAATGATCTCCTTTCTAATGTCTCCCAGGTGTAACCACTAGAGCTGATTAATAATTCAACCTCTCGGAAATTCTCACAGTCTTACTCATTTCTTTTTAAAGCTTGCACACACTCGCGACGAGAATCCAATCTGAATATATTCCTGACTTGGCTACTTCAATCTTGAGTTTGAACATGACCTACACCAAAGATGGATATGCTCAATTGCAACAGATGGCGACTTCAAGTGCTGTAAGTGCCTATAAACGTGTGTTCTCGGCTTTTCTTCTTTCTCACTTTCTGCAGGCAGTCTTTACTCATGGAGTGATGCCAGGGGATCCTAAATTAGTGAAAATCACAAAGTAGAATTTAATGTGCACATTCTCTTCTGCCTGAGGAGCCATAATTTTCTTTTCTTTTTGACATAGTATAGGTGAGCCAGCTGCGATTAGAAGATATGAGTCTAGTCTAGCACATAGCTCACGAAGTAATGGTCAACTACATGTATATATCCACTTCTACTGCTCGCTCCCATACATATTCAACCTGTAAAAGCTGTTATACCATGATCTCTAGCGGTATTTCCTCATTCTGAGAGTGGGGAAGGGGGCGTGCCCCGTGCCTATGTTGGATGGGCGATTCGTGAGGAACCCATAACTACGATCGCAGTAGTAGGGGCATGTAAAGGTCAAGAAAAACAATTAAAAGAAGGTCAGCAGAGAGATTACGCAACCTCGAGTCGCTGTTGAAGATGCAGCTGTCTTACCTTAACATCACTGGATACCGCTCAAATAAGCACTAGACTATGGGGTCTTCCGCTACACCCACTTCTGAGAAGATGCTATGACATAACTTGCTCTTGCAGCCGTCGGAGGCAGGCGTCAATCAAGTTGTGTATCTATTTTCTCTACTGTTCAGAAAATGGTTTTGTCTTTTGGCTTGGAATCGTTTATTTGGCAAGAAACGTTCACATTACTCTTGGAAAAGTGCCGTGAAAAGCTGTTGGGCACACAGCGGTACCTGAAGTTCTTGACTATCGCAAATTCCCTTTGAAATACCCTTTTTCTCTATCAATCACCGGAACAATATTGATCGCCAAGCTAAAAGGGCAATGATCCCACAGGTGGGGATCGCTGAAAAAAAGCTTTTCAAAAGTTGGTCGGTGCTACCTGAAGCAGTATTTCATGATAATTCTGGGTGTTTTCTTCAATAAGGATCTAATGGTAAGGGAGGAGCAAATAGGTGAATGATGGAGTAAAAAGGAAGCATTCAGCCTTTCGTCTCCCCATTAATAAAGCATGGCAAGAAAATATCCTACAGTTCTTTCATTGCTCTCCACACTTATTTGACAACGGATAGTTTCAATTGAAGTAGGGGTCTCAGTGATGGCGGTTTGCGAATGCTTATTTCCAGCATTACTGAAATGCGAAAAAAAAA